GGGGGGGGGGGAAAGTGATAAAAAAAGGAAAAGGAAAAAGAAATCGTTTTCGTTTAATGAAACAGGCATCGGTCGAACGGTTGCGCTATTTCTCGAACGATTAACGAAACGACATAACGAGTGGACTGGAGAAACAGGAGACGGGTAGGAGAACGATGGAAGAATGTGTAACGAATCGCGCATTCCCCGACGATATGCAGAGGCGTGTGTGCAACGGCGGCGTCACGTGAATTGAACACCGCGGACGTGGTGTATACCCCACGGCTCGTTTTCTGCACGCGGTCACGTCCACGTCTGGAAACGAAAATCGCGGAAGCGGCGATGGTTCGCGCGCACACGGGCGCGTGAAGTTGCATAATATTCCGCCGGGCCCATTTAAATTCTTAACGCATCGTGCCCCACCGGACACCGTGTTAATCCGTCCTTCATTTCTACCAACATTTCAACAGTTCCCTCGAACTCGAAATCATCGATTATCGCCTATTGTAATCTCTAATATATATATATATATATATATATATAGTTATAGTTATATATAGTATATGTTATATACTACAGTATATATATAGTTATATATAGTTATATATAGTATATTATATATAGTTATAGTTAGATATAGTTATATATATAACTTATCTCTCCGCAATAATTCTCGATATAATTCGCTTCGAGATAAACAAGGAATTTTAATATATATATATATATTTATGAATCGTTTGAATTCTCGAAGAGACAAACGAAACGAAAGTACGAAAAAGTGGTCAAGATTTATTTAAAATTATAAATATTATTATCATTCTGATGTATATATTTTTTATCCGAACGTTTCGTTAGGTGTGGAGTATGAAGGAGTGGAGGAGAGGGATTTTTAAAGAAAATCCGGGAGTGGGAAGCGATATACGCAAGCAACTTCCGTTCCGATGAAACGATAGCCACACGGTAAAGAAAAACGATTCACGACGTCTTATCGTAGCTCGTTAAGCTTGGAAAGATTAAATTATCGAAGCGGCGTCTGCAGTCGCCTCTGAATATAATAAATCGTCGATCAGCGGTTGATCGAGTGAATGACCAGAACGAAACAGGGTGGCCCGACTTTCCAGCTCTAATGATTTGTCTGTCCATAGCTTATCTCATTAACGAGTGTCCCGTTCGAATGTCGCCGGCAAGGAGAAGGGGGGGGAGGGGGGAGGGGCATCGGTTTCATTGGTTGAAATCGATGAGAGGGAAGAATCATCTTCCCTCCTTTTCCCTCCCCCCCCTCCCTTTTCCCTTCGTTTCCTTTTCTCCCTTTTTTCACGCCGATAATTTAATCGTTTCGAACACGTGACGACGACGTGTGAAATGGAATTTCTCTATTCAACCTCTAATACCAATAATAACGGAAAGATATTATATTTTATCCTTTGGCAATGATATTATTTCGAGGCGGATAATGATCTGATCTGTGATTTTTCGAAAAGATCGAATCGCGTCTCGTGGATAAATTTCAAAAATCTTTCATACATTTTTCTTTTTCCTTTTTTTTTCGCGGAACAATTTTTCGAGATGGGGGAGTATTTTTAGCCGCGTCAAGTTGAGATAGATAAATAGATGAGCGATAATGTAATTAGCGCGGATACGGTGGTCAACCGTGGTGGAAGAAGAATCACCACCACCTCGATTTAAATTTTAGACTTGGTTCAATTAAAATTCAACGAGAGGTTTTTTTTTTTTCCTTTTTCTTTCTCTCTCTTTTTTTTCTTTTTTTTCCTTTACGACCATTATATATACGCGCGATCTTCAGATTTGCTTGTAAGGGATCCAAGCGTGAACACCTTAATTGGTATTGTACTGGAATAACTTTCCAATTACATATGTATCATGAAAAATTCATGCAATGGTTTTAAGGGCTCGTTATTGTGAAAATTTCTTATAATATCAATTTTTTAATGGCCAGATTAGATTTCAATTTTTTTTTCTATTCAATTGAAATTTCCAATCGATGCATTTTATTTAAATTGATGAAATTCCGCTTTCGATCTGCAAATAACATTATTTTTATTGCAATTTTCAAATATTTTAATCGACGCCCCCATAAATAGAAAACAAGAAACGTTCAAAATCTCGAGGATTAACGCAATTGTTCAACGCGATATTTTAACAAAAAAAAAAAAAAAAAAAAAAAAAGAAAAAGAATCCCATAAAATTTCAATATTCCAATTAACAAACGAGGGCTCGCTCAATCGATCGCGCAAATTAAAAGGAGGCGAAACACTTCCGGTTACGAACCCCAATTTCACCTTTATTTCTCGCACTCGGCAGATTACACGTTTGCACGTTGGCGATCATTATTATTGCCTATACACTTTCCTCGTTGGCGGCGAGCCAACGCTCTTTTCGAAATCTCTTCGTCGATTTTTCCGTTCGGTCGGGGATTTCACTTTCGCGCGAGGACGGTCATTATCGAGCGTTAAAAAGAGGGGAACAATGAAAGTCTCGTTGGAACGAGTGAAATGGAGGCCGCTCTCCTTCGCTCAGGGGTAGCCATATGGCGTGAATTTGATTAATCGTGCACCGTGTTGGAACTTCTTCGCCTTCGTTTGCAACGTTATAGACAGGAGGGGAGGAAGGGATATACACGTTCCTTTTCAGATGGTCCAATGCCCTTTCGCCCGATTAAAGGATAATTTTAATCGTCGAAGTTAAGGGTCGCTGATTAATCCTGTAATCCCTCGCGAATAACGATTATTATTGCTTGTTTATTTAAAAATGTTAGTTGAAAATGTAATAATTCTTGTCTCTTGCGAAAGGTACGAGGATTTTGATCGGTAGATTTTTTTTTAATTCGGTTATTTTGTTACTCGTTAAAATGCTTGAATATTACAGTTAATCCACTATTTATTTGCCATTATAATTGTAATTTCAAATCATTGGGACGAATGATTATACCCTATCGATTAATAATTGCCAGATTGAAACTGAATTCTAATTTTGCATGCACTTTTCTTACATCCAATTGTTTGAACGTTGACGTGATTCGGGATGAAAGGTCGAGTAAAAAAAAAAAAAAGAGTTAATTTTAAAAACGTACCATTTGAGGAGAGAGAATAGAGAGAGAGAGAGAGAGAGAGAGAGAGTGTCTCTCATTCCAGATTTCTTATCTCGGGGGAACTCGTTCTAAGCTTGATGGCCAAGGTTTCTTGTTCGTGGAAACTCGTTTTAAATTCCACGGTTTTAAAGTTCCTTTACTCGAAGGAATCTGTCGAATAGTTTAAAATCAAATGTATTCCACGCTCCTCAATTCCACGGGCCCCTTCTTCCAAAGAACTTATTTCATATTCATTCCGATTTTATTTCGAGCATGTCGATCCTAATTTTTCACCTCTTTCCGGCCTCCCCCTTCTTTTCGTGCCTTTAAGGCGTTTAAACTTTTAAATAACTCGACGAGGAGGGGCCTCTCTCGCTTTACTCGGAAAACCGTCGGTAATTCACCATTTTTAAATCGGCTGAATCCCGTAGAAAAACTTCAACTTGAAAAATTCTTTCCTTCGCACACCTGATTCTAGTTTCCTTATTAGACGCCACGTAACTTCAAACAAGTTTTCCATTTCCAGATCCTTCATTCTTAGAAACGAGAAACGAGTCGAATATATAAATAAATCTTTGAATTTTTTT